CGTAGACAACGATAGGCGAATCGTCCTCCAGCGACCCAGACAGTGATTTCGGCGATTTAGGTTTCACGGCAGGACGCAGGGTTCGCAAACTCAGTGGAACGCTGGTGACTCGTCGGGATAATGCACATTTCAGTTGGCCTGGCTTGCTGAGGCCAATTTACTACTTCATAGAGTAGTAAATGAGTATCATTTACTACTTCAAAGAGTAGTAAACGAGCATCAGCAAGCCAGAAAGGTTTTAAAATCAACGTAAACGATTGATATGTGGGGTTTCGCGTCTCAAAACCACAAAATCAAAGTAAAGTAAAGTATTGTATACATGTTGTGTGACCCCGATGCGTTAGCACTGCATGCCGAGAAAAGGAAAAACGTACATTTTGTACGATGTGTAAATGTCGGCTCAAGACTCCTTTGAGCTCACTGCAGACCATTTCCCCACCCGTGGTCTCCTCCAACCATTATCCGTCTATACTGCCTATTGATTTTAATAATTAATTATACCTTTTCTTGTGCAACACTGCTGAGAATGCACTGTTCTCTTCATTTTACGTACAGGAAGTGGCATCACTTTCTCCGCGACAGTCAAGTACGTAGCCGAGTATCGACGTTAAAACCGGGACCTGATTTCAGGTATCTTCGAGAACATACGGTGGCTCATATTTAAGGTCCTCATCTCCCGAAATGCCATACAATAAAAAAAAACGTTATTTAGTACCTGGTAATATATTCCCGCGCGGGTATTCACAGAGCTAGCTGATATCGCGACAAGTTGTTCACTGCATTTCTCTGCGTGCTTATGATGCCTCTCTCGCGTCGACTGCTGCACCACAACGCATACCGCGCGAGATATACCGCTGCAAGGAACAAAGCGAGAGAAATTAAACATCAATCGAAATGTCAGATAATCAAATATAGCGGTCGCTATTTCGAAGCTGTGGGATGCGGAGGAAAACGTTTGCAAACGCAGTGTATTATAGATGTGTGAAACAAGACAGCTTGACATATGGAAAATTGATAGCAAAAATAATTATTCCTAGCTGATTGCATTTTGCAAACTACAGCAAGTGCAGTTGGAAACTTGTAACACATGTATACGCTATTATTTTCAGGGATGAAATCGATTCTCATAATAATGCTTTCATCATGAGGCTATGTTCACCATGTCACAGGTGGATTCACCGGTGAAAGCCCGTGGCAGCGACTAAGTGCTTGCGGTCGTGAGGCATTATTTTGAGACAATACCGCAATGTTTTCAAAATAAAAAAAATGCTATGACAGCAGGTGCACGAACTTTATGTCGGGACGAAAATACTTTGCTTCACCTATGGTTGTTACGAAATAATTAATTAAGGAAAACACATTATTTAACGTTTAGTTATCTTAAAGTGGGAGTCGACAATTTACGGCTGAACCATGCATGTTCTTTAGAAATACCAGAACGATAGATGACACTTGCTGTATTACTCGTCGTACGTCAGGGCCTCGGTTCAGGTGCTTCCGAAACTGAGCTCTCCTGGCGCGCAGGAAACGCCGCCGCTGTGTTACGTCAGACCGGAAGTTCATGTGACAAACTTTGAACACATGCACGTCACAGCAGAATCCGGTCAGTAAAATGGCATGCCGTTTGAAGTATACAAGAGTGGACTCTTCATTCTTTCATTTTGGTGCGTTGTGCTCAAGTGTTCCTTTCGTAAACTCTAAATCAGCTTGCAAAGGACTCTCACTTGTCGCCCCGCTGCGGTGGTCTAGTGGCTAAGGCACTCGGCTGCTGACCCGCAGGTCGCGGGATCGGATCCCGGCTGCGGCGGCTGCATTTCCGACGGAGGCGGAAATGTTGTAGGCCCGTGTGCTCAGATTTGGGGGCACGTTAAAGAAGCCCAGGAGGTCGAGAGTATACCGGAGCCCTCCACTACGGCGTCTCTCATAATCACATGGTGGTTTTGGGACGTTAAAGCCCACAAATCAATCTCTCGATTGTCAGTGAGAAGAAGCGCCCTGGTTTCACGCTGTACAGTGAAATAAAGAGTGCTCACTTTGGTTTTATTGGGTACCACGTTAAAGATTTAGATAAGGCGAAAGATCACATCCTGTGAAGAAGCTGTATACACTTGTGTACTTCAGATGAATTGCTGTTTTGTTTTCTGACCAGATTCAGGTCGACGCACCACTTTTCAAAGTGCGTCACGTGAGCTTCCGGTCTGACGTAACACAGCGGCAGCATTTTCTGCGAGCCCGGCGCTTTTAGTTGCGATATCGCTTGGATCGGGGGCTTCGATCTCGACGATTATCATTTCATATCAAGTGCGTTTTTGAGAACTTACAAAAACTTGTCGTTGTAACTCGTCAAGTAGTGCAGATTTTCAACGTAAACTGCCCTCAAACATAATGATATATGTCAATTAACAAATATTTTAATTGCTCACTTCAAGAAAACTGTAAGTGCGGCTAAGTATTTACGCGTTGACGTAGACTTCGATTACGAAGATAGTAATTTTGTCGGTCTGTCATGGCTTTTTTACAGAAATTTCAATTGTATACAAAAAATAATACAATACGAGGTATGTAATTCATGCCTTTGTCGTTAAGTTTGCATAGAAACTTATTCGCACATAGCGGCGACCTGCAGCATTGAGTAAAGTGAGACAATGTACTCTACCTTTATTTCTCGTTGCGTGCCAGCAGCCTGCATTGTACGGAGCGATTGTCGCCATCTAAACAAAAGAATACACTGTCATAGCACGGCGTTATCGAATACCACAACCCTACATTAAGCGATTATCTCTTGGGTATAGGCTAATGATATGTGTACAGTACCAACTGGACAGTGGTCCGACATCAGAACAATATAGGTGGTGCCTATAAAGTACACGAATTCAAGGAACTTGACATTTGAGCTGCCCATATCAGTCGGCCTTCATGAGAGACCTCGACAGAAACCCACGAGGTGGTTACTTTACGGTCTATGTTTTCTTCCCTTCACCTCTTCTTCCCCTCTCATCCCCTCACTCCCTCTCTTATCGCCCGTCAGCCAAACGGAAGTTCATCTGGTCAACCACCCTGGCTTTCTATGAATTCTCTCTCTATCTCTTTCCTAATTCGATATCCGCGAAAAAGCGACAGCATGAGGCCACAGAGGCATCTTGGCGACCGAGGGCGGCCAGATGAAAGCGGTGCTTGGCCTTTGTTTCGCTTCCCCGGCGACTGACTTCCACGTGCGGGGCAGTCACCGTGAACGCATTAGGAAGCAGTTAGTGCGAGCTAATCGCATCTGTTCCCGTTCACCGCCCCGCTGCTGCACTGCGCGCTCGACACCGCATCGCTTCTGTCCGCGGATGCGCACTCGACGGCGCACGCAAGAGAGGGCGGCTCGGGGAGGAGGGTCACCTCGAGGCGCGTCTTTGTCCCGCGCTGGGACGAGCCATCCGCCCGGGCAGGAAGTGGCCGTGACCGCCGCCTGACCCACATCCGCGAACGCCACCTGCACCGGCAGCTCCTTCCCACCCCCCAAACAGCGGCCCCCCTCCTCCTGGCACTCGGCCTGCCCCGCTTTTACGGGACCACCTCGCTCAGTGGGCTTCTCGGACGCTTTCCGCAGGACCGTTTCGAATTGTTCCCGCTAACCTCGTCGCCGCAATGATGTTTGCGGAGCGAGTGATACGGTCTAGCTGTTTTCTGCTGACGATTACGCATTTTCAAGTGCGCAAGCTTCATCCGCGATACAAAGGGGCACACAAACCTGACGATAGTTTTAGCGCGAGAACAGAACGACGACACAGAGACAAGAAGGACACGAAGGACTTGTCTCTGTGTCGCCAGTCTGTTCTCGCGCGATAACTATCGTCATGTCATACCAACTAGCCGAAGCTGTCACACTTCTAAGGGCACACAAAGTCGCCAGGCGTACTCGGTCATAGCCCGGGCATACTCGGACAGAGCTGAACTCACGCGGACATAACGATAGCGCGAGAACAGAACGACGACACAGAGACAAGAAGGACACGAAGCTCGGGTCCGTCGTGTCCTTCTTGTCTCTGTGTCGTCGTTCTGTTCTCGCGCTATAATTATCGTCATGTCATACCAACTAGTCCAAGCTGCCACACTTCCACGCGGACATAGCTCGGCAAACCTTGTGAAGCTCTCTCAGAATCATTCATGAGATACATATTGCGCTTATGGCTTACTCGGGCTCAGACTCAACGCAAATGTTCTTACCCGGACTCACTTGGACTCAAACTCATCAAAATATTACTCCCACGGACTCACACTCAAACTCAGACTCATGGCTCTATCTGTGTCTCAGCGAGTCCGAGTGAGGTTACTCGTGAGTCGGTTCGCCGGCCTATTAAAGGGGCGACGTGGAATAACTGCACTCGTTGTCAGAACCGAGCGTAGGGTGTTACGAAACGTTCGCTGTGTTAGTAGGCCACAATGAACTGGACGTACGAATACACGGAACTACGCTTATGCTTGGCAATGAAACGGCAGCCCACTATGATGGAAAGTGCGCGTTTTTCTCCGACTTACTCAGTTTAACACCTTTACGAGACCTCTTTCTGTCTTCAAAGAGTATCTTCATATGTTCCGCAATTCTAAAGCACCTGCTAACTGCTGTTACAAGGAATATTTTAGGTATGAAGATATCGACACTTATCGCGAAGGGAGTAGGAATGGCTTCCATGCTAATGTTCGGCATTAATTTGAACGTTTTATTGATTGGTACAAAGGTTAAACACTCGAGTTGCCTGTTGTTGTAATGCGCGTAGCATTTAACGAAGAACCCTCAGCTACAGTGAAAAAAGTACTCTTACTTCAGTGGTAAACCTAACGTATTCTGGTAAAGACTCCACCATGTCATTGAAAGTGTGGTAAGGTCGTTCTAAAGTGAAAATGCATATGAGTGCTATTGGAGTCGCACAGTCTATCAAGAAATCATGACTTGCATGACTCATCGTGTTCTCAACACATAGTGAATGTTCTGTCAATTGTTCTTCCGATTGCAGCTTTTCCTGGCCGTGTTTCTAGCTCTTGCCAATGGCGTTCACGCCGAGTCAGCCACCGAACGAGAGCCCGCCTCGTTCCGGCAGCAGCAGCCGCTGGCCTCGTACCCTACAGTGTACGGCCTCGCCTACCAGCAAGGGTTCCCGACAGCTTACCTGGCAAGGCCTGTGGCGAGGCCATCGCTAGGGTCTCGCCTCCGAGGTCTAGTGAATGCACTATTCTTTCGCCGCCAACAGCAACAGCAGCAGCAGCCGAGCTACCAGGCGTACAAGCCATCGGTCGCCGTCAAGCCCGATCTAGTGGCTGCGGCGTCCAAGCCCTTGCTCCACTCGGCCCACAAGATACACTTTCCGGGATCCTTTCAGACTGGCAAACTGGGATACGGAAAGCAGGGACTGCAGGCTGCCTACGCGCAGGCCTACCCCTACATGTCCACGGCAAAACTGTACAATGGCCTTTACGGGACGTCGAAAAACACGTACGCCGCGAAGCCCTTCGGCGGAGCCTACAAGGCTTGAGTGGCCCGGACAGACGTTACTCTGAAAGTTCGGGGCTGAGCGCTCTCAATGGCGCGTCGCGCATTTCCCTTCGTTTTTTTTGTTCTCTTTATTGGCAGGACGATCGTCGTCATTGTTTACCACTCTGCAAGACACTCGACCTATCAGCGTGCACTTTGCGTAGCTTCCGTTTAGCGTCGAGGCTTGCTGCCGAGGTCTGAAAAGTCATCGCTTTCGACTCTGTATGACTCATGCTTGTCCCCATCAAGCAGAAAGGCATCAGTCAACGATTGGATGACATTAGTCATATTTGTGCCCCCCCTACTCGTCATCTATATGAACGCCTTGCAGTGCGCGTTGAAGACGGCCAACATTGATGACGTTGTTTTTGACATGTCGGTACTTGATAGTTTACAAATGCCTGTGAACTCGCAAAATTTTATCTGAAACGGTATGACACTTTCTCAGCACTGTTCTTAGCGATGGCGAGAGAACTTGCAGGAAAGTTGGTCTGCTCTCAGCGCTGACCGCAAGTGCCAAGAAGCATGCACAAAAGCGTTTATAGAAAGATGGAATATCGACAATAGGATAGCTCTTCGTTAAAGTGAGGCCCCGGTCGTACGGGTATTCTCGCAAGAATAGCAATCTGAAAAGTTGGAATTCACTACAATTCAGACTTGGGTGCAGTAATTTAGCGTGCCATGTTGTCAATTGTTAGCGAGGCATCATCGCTAATTTTCTAACTTACACAATCGAAGGGCTTATACCGTTATATAAACGTTGTTTTTAACATCGTTAGAATGCTGTCTTTAAGACCATGCGGCAGCATCATGAAGTACTTATGTTAAACTCGGAAGCTTAGAATGGATGGTATGTGAAACAAAATCGTATACAATTTTCTACGTATTTAGCATTGGTAGGCAAAACGATGCAAGAGTGCATTATTTGTAGGCAAGTGAGGGCCAGCAGACCAGCAGTGTGGACAGGCATCATGGTCTAGTGCGGACAGGCATCATGGAAACAGCTGGTGGCTTAGGTAATTGCAGAATACTTATAGGGTACTGTGATTTCAACAGCATGTAGTCATGCACCTGTTTCATTTTTTTTTTCGCAATCGGCATGGTCCTGTCGGTGACTCGGAGTTGTGCCATCTTTAGAGAGACAGCCGTAGACTTTTTGAAGTGGTCCTGCACAGGGGCAGATTCACTGTTCATATGAAGGTAAAAAGAATGTCGAAGAAACAGCACATCTCTCAGTGTTTTTAGTTTCTTAATTAGACTAGTGATAATTACAATGATATTTTATGCTGCTGCATTGTGCTGAGGCATCACTGTGTCGTAGAGACAAGCGTTTGGCAAGAAGGTGGACAGATCAGTTGTGTCGGAGGCCTAGCGCTCCACTTGTGGCGCGCTAAAAGTCAAGCGCTGATTCAGTATGGGAATGTATTGAACCAAAGTGTCTATCGACTTTGGGTAGTTCTTGCTGTGTTGTAAGAAGAGTTTTTGTCAAGTAGCCAAAGTGCAGAAGGTGTGAGATCCACTGCGTAACCTTATGACGTGAAAGAGAAAAACAAGCCCGGTGGGTTACTAAGATACAATGCTGGCTGACTGGGGTTGTTACGTGATACAGCTGAACACCGCATCTTACCCAATTCTTTCTTCTTTATTGTAAAGCTCAAGTCAGCGCTGAGTTATCTAAGAGCATTTACTTTCAGATTCACCCCAGAGAATCAATGAAAACTGAATTGCCATTATGTGTGTGTGCGTGTGTGTGTGAACTAGCATCTTTGTGTCGAACAAAAAAAAAGTGCTCACAAAAGCGTCTATTTATTTGATTCATTTTGGCTAACACGACATCCACCTGCAATTACTTGTTGTTTAAGTGCTATTCACTGTTCAGGGGGAAAGATGAGACCATTAAAACGCAGCCCTCGAGTACAAGTTGGAGATTGTGTGTTTCAATTGTACTTTCGCTTAGCCCATGTATACTGCATACTTTAGAGGCAGCGCGTACGACGGCGCCAGCTGAAGTCAGAGGCCCAATAGCAAGAAGTGACTTGCTGATGGTGAAGTAGTAGCGTAATGCGTTCAGATTCATGGTTTTTTTGTCTGTTAAGTGAACAAGTGAGCATTGTGAGCGCAAAACAAGCAGATTCGTGTGCGGATAGTCGACCTGGAGCACGTACTATTCTGAACGTTGCCACGAACAGTTCTTACTGCAAGTTCTTCAGCGTAAGTGGTCGCTTCGCAAACGTTTATAATGTAAGCACACGAGCAAGTTAACAAGCCTCAGTGTCAGTATAGTGGCACTGGTCAAGAGCACGTGATTGCCCGGATTTTGGCTGCCTGACATCAGCGAATATCACCTCCGCGAATAAAAAAAATATGTGAACGTGATTTTTTTTTGTTTTTTTGCGTGCTAACCTTTTGTAGACTCAGACAAAATATGTCATATCACTTTGCTGTATGTGTTACAATATTTATGCGTGCCTCGGTTCTAATAAATGTGTGTGCTTTCTGTACTGTCCCCGCTTGAATTTCGTTTGAAGACGAGGATGGCTTCCATTATTTACAAGAAGTGACACAGCTCGACAGCTCGGGGTCACGAGACGCGAGCAGAAAGGTCATGTGTGACGTCACTGGTAGAGAGTCACGATACCCTCCTATGGCAGTAGCGATTGATGCTGGCAAAACAGAACCGCGAAGCAGCCAAGCGTCGGTAACTGACCCCCCCCCCCCTTTCCTCGCTGATGATAACTGCCACAGTAGCGCCACTTACGTGACACCAGGTGGAACCACGTACTTCATTCAAATTGTACGGTCGGGTATGACGTCACACGCGACGTTTGTCATGCTCTCGTCACGTGATTCCAAACAGTCAAGGCGCAAATGGAGTCTCCCACCGCAGACAGGATGTGAAAGCCGTGTGATGTAAGTATATGAATGTGACACACACAATGCACAGCGTGTTTCATCGTTTCAAGTTGGTGAGGGAATAACGGGCGGCATCAATGGTAACGGTGGAAAAAGATTAAACTAAAGGACAGCGTTACTACCTGTAGAACAAAACAAAGTTCAAACACAGTAGTTGATTGCAGGAATTCTCAAAGGTGGTTGGAACTTCGTAAAAATACAGGTCGACCTGTTACGGAGGAAGGGAAATTACTCAAGGGGCTCGTTTTTAGTTAGGTGGAGCTAATAGAACCAGCAGACACTTAAAAGGACACTAAAGTCAAACAACAATTTACGTCAGAGTGAAAGCTCAATGTGTGACAACATATAAAACGACAATATAACCAACAACAGTGCCCTACTTACCAAGCAATTATGGTAAATGCACAAGAACACGTGCGCTGCAGTAGGACATTCAAATTATTCCGATGACATCAGACAAACCGCCTACAATTAATCACTAGTAATTAATCTAGCTGCACAAAATAAAGAACCATCCCTGCATCAAGAGACGCAATAAAATGCTGCATGTTCGTTTCTGCTTGATTCATGAAAAAAAGAACCACCGGACGTTACTATGGAGAATGGCGCGAGTGTTTCAAACATTCAATTTTTGCGTGGTTACACGAGAGAGGTGATGCCATCTAGCGGGGTGCAGTTGAAACAAAAAATGTCTGCAATCTCGAAGCCAATGGCGGGAAATTGAGCAATGGCCGTTGTTGCTGCTGTGGCTTCCACTGATTTCGGTCTAGCGCAGTAAAACCGGGCAACATAGATGGATGGATGGATATGGCTGTACCCTTTAGATCAGGCGGTGGCTAGCGTCACCAAGCCGTAATACCTAATGAACCAAAAACTATATTTATTTTTTTCCCTTAAAAAGTGAGTTTGAGGATTCGTACTTTGCAGTGAAGAGTTTAATTTTCACTCGTGCCTTGACTTTAGCCACCAATCAGATAACCTCCTTCTAGTTAAGTCTGCCCGCTTAAAGTTTATTTTGCCCTCCCGGTCCCTAAACCCCAGTGCTTTGAAAAACTCTGCGCCATCATCCTGAACTATAGGGTGCACGGCAACAGCGACGCGAAATGGTCCGGTCGGTCAACTTCTTCAGGCGGGTTATTTGAAGTGCGCTAACTCGATGCGGAGCACTAAAACGGGATTTTATTTCAAAATAGGCCCTTCCTTGGCACGAAAGTAACACTACGAGATTTCTGCACCGCCATATCAACAATCAACGTCGACTTAATAGTTGCCTTTAGTGTCCCTTTGAGCTAATGAAAGCAGAGTTAAGATGAACTGTTCTTTAATTGCAGTATAATGATTCCAACCTAAATTGAAAAATTAAAGTGGACGACAAATAACCAACAACCTTCGACTTACGCATGTCACGTGACTGCCTCCGGCAGGAAGAGTGTTCCACACTCACCGCCAGGGGTGAGAGTGGCGCTGGCCAGCACTCCTAAGAATTAAAAACACACAAAGACCCTACAAAGTGAACTTGGGAGCACTCTCTATTATAGCTCAACTGGCAGAACATCAGACGCGTAATTTGAAGGTTGTGGGCTCGGATCCCAACGACAGAAAGGGCGATTTTTCGTCCACTTCAATTTCTTTCAATTAAGGTCGAAATAATTACACTCCACTTAAACAAACAGTATTGTCGCTTATGCTTTAATTAGCTTTAGTGTTTGTTGGTTTCGGGAGTTATGTTACATCGATCTGTTGCAACACAACCACGTTGCGACATATGAACATAGGCGGATGGATGGATGAATGGAGCTGCACCTTTTTGAAGGGGTGGCACTCCAGCCTCTTAACTCATAATGAAGTACTAATTATCATTAATTATTGGCTCATTTTCCCTCCTGGCTTGATTTTACCCACTAACCAGTTACGACTCCCCTTTCTGATTATCTCTGCCTCCTTAAAGCCTACTTCGTCTATTTCGTTTTCTTTGATGCAGAAGGAGTTCCCACAGTAATAACAGTATACGGTGACATCTCTGGCGAGAATCCTGTACCGTGACTACACAAACAGTAGCAAGAATTGCGCGTAGTAACGATCATTTGCATTGCTCGAGCAGACGGGCGGTTCATGCCCGGCGCATCGCTCATCGTCGTATTCACACGTAGAGAAGAAAGAAACGTACACATAGTCTGGACAGATCGAAGCTTCGTTCTCGCCTGTTTTACTGCCACACAGAGAGAGAGACCGGGTTGGGCCTGATCAAACAAGGTGCCCACGCTGGCGCCGACTGATTATCCCGGTGCAGCAATCAATGCTGCGGCACCACGAATCTGGGCTCGGCCAGGCTGGAAGATATAAGGAGTCCCTCATGGCAGTCTCCGTCAGCAGTGCCCCATCAACTGCCAGTAGTCACCGAAGCCACGAGGTGAGATCGGTTTCTCCTTTCCTCTTTACCGCCATGACTGAAACATGCAAAACCCGCGTAGAAAATGCGCGTCATATTTAGCACGTTAAAACTTTTCTCAAGATATGGGCCGTCATGAAACGTCGAAATAAGCGTTTGCTGTTAAAGTGAGTGGTCCAAGGATGCGATGTACGTAAGAGGCAAAAAATATATTTTGCTGAATAAGAAATTGTTCGGTGAGCTGGTGATTGCACAAAATGCCGATTTTAACTCTAAAAAAAACAAAAACATATGTGAGACACAGGACAAGCGCTAAACACTATGATAGAGACATCGCCCGTCCCGTCGTTCAGATGTTTTCGTCTTTTTCAGCGCTAAAATCACCATTTTACGTTTTGCTGTTTCCGCTAACGTGTTACTAAATTTCATGCGCACTGCTAGTGAGAAGATACGGCGTTTTTCAAAACGCTTTACAAGTGGGCAGACACAGCACATTTGGAAATGATTAAAGAGAATGAAAATCTTTTGAGCCTGGCCGTCTTGTTAGGATTGAAAATAGGCAAACAAGAAATTTGTAGGGTGTAACAAACACCATTCTCATGAGCTCGTTGTTTGCGGACAAGCGCTTCAAAAGCGCAAGAGAGAAATTAGCATTTATTTGTATTCAGTGCATTTCGAATGATTGAATGGGACCGCATCGGTGAATCTTTTTCTATATAGAAAGACGAGATGCCGAGCCCTGCCATCACCCGTTGTTTGGTGCTTCTGCTCCTGCTACAAGCAGCGCTTGCCTTTCCAGACTACAAAGGTGCGAATGTGTGCAGTCTTTTCAGTGACAATACTCAATACGTATAATTGCCCTGTTTAGTTTGTTCAATGCATGACGTAGAAAGCTACGGATTGTGTCAGTCGTACAAAAACACAGAATGGTGAGCGCTGCTCCATTCTGCAACTCTGGTTCTCTAAGCAACGCAGACTGAATGTCATTGCCAATGAGGGATTAATAGTGTACAACGTGCGTACACTTATTCATTATCCAAAACTGTCAGCTCGCCCTCGTTAGTTATTCTCTGACACAAGGCCTAGTCTTCGGTGTAATGCACAGAAATGCTGAAACAACATCTTGGTTCCTGCAGCCTTCGAGGCGTCACGCATTCATATCGGGACTAGAGCACAATTGAATAAGCTATTGATATACGTCCTCCATTCTTCCTGAAGATACTGTTCTACAATCTTTCGATATTGCCGATGAAAATTTTCTCGATGACTATTTGTAGTTTGGTATACCATTCCTCGAAGTGCCGTTATATATATAAAAGTATTATAACACTGAACTTTAGTTCATTGCGTTAGCTGAAACGGATGTGGACAAAGGTACTTCGTGGACATTGGCGTTTTTGCATGCTCCACAGCACAGTGTAGGAAATATCATTAATGAAGAAAACAAATCACACAATATGGCAGAGCTTGTAACGAAAAGTATATGTAACAATATTTTTTATTTTTTTATTTTTAAATAAAACGAAATACAAATATGTACGGACTGCGAACATCCATAAGTCGCTGGGAGGGATATTGCTTACAGAAAGTAGTATATACATGCGCTATCAAGGAAAAAAAAAAGACATCGAGACTATGAAACACCAAGATATTAACTCTATGAAAATGCACATTATACTTTCGGCGTTTTATTGCTATATTGGTGTTCTATTAACTCACCCAACTACGCAGCGTTTTTTTTTTCGTAGAATAGTATTACTATATTGTACTCATTTTGTGTACTTGTTACAGGGCACACATTTGTACGCAAAGTGAAATAAATCTCTATCAATGAATTCTGATCCTGAATGGTCGATGGCGTTTTGAACCACGACAGAGAGTTCGCATCGCTTGACGATGCATTTAATATATTCTTCTGCGTTAAAAGAGCATGCTGTCTCATGTTTTATTGACACCTAAAAGGAGGAGCACAATATACTTATACCGCGTAGCATAAATGTTAGAAACGATGAGAGGGCCATAAAATATGGAGAAAGAGTAACCTTAAAAAAGTTTATCGAAGCAAATGACTGCAGATAAGCATGTTGCGGATAAGTGACGACCACGATGTGCTAACCTAACGGAGAATGGTTATGCTCAAAACTTCTCCCACTTCCTCACAAATATTTAGAGAATTACGAACAGTCACCACTGGCAGCCTGCAG